GAGATTCAGGGAATCTAGATTCATTTTCAAGATGAAGGAAGAGATGACTTTAAATATTAGTAATCAAATTTTTTTTAAACATAGTAATCAAAAATGTCCATTAATCTGCACAAGGGAACTATTTAGTATACCTTCTTGTTTGCAGACTACTACTAGATTTTTCCCTTCCAATCAAAGAACTTTACCAGGGGAGGCTTTTATTTTGAATAGTTTTCCTCAGTTCACATTAAATAATTGGGGCCATCATTTTAATATAAAAGTTAACCATTAATTGGCAAATTTGTATATTCTAGATTAGTACTCTACATTCTTTACTATCTTCACACTTTAAAGAGGCGATATATTGTCTTTATTTTCAATGGAGCAATCAAGACATGGGAATTTCAAAATTGCTAGCACTAGAAGCCAACTCCTAACTCCAAGCCTTTTCTTTCACTTATCACCTCACACTGGCCTCAGTGAGACCCGAATCAAAGTTTCCTTTTTTAAAAATCCTATTTGTTGAATGGAAGTGGTCTCTGGCCCTTTTCCTGCATAATTATAACCAAAACTTTACTCAAGTTCAGGTTGAAAGATTTAGCACGTCGTAAATAAAAAATACTTTTTTAAAAAGAATGAAATTTAAAATGTTTATACTGAAAACGGGTCATGCCTTCAAATTTACCTCCTGCCTCACCTCATTGAGTTAACTGGGAATACAGGTGTGCAACACCACTTTCCAGATTTAAAACATGTAATTTTTGAACTCTCCATTAGGGAATTGAGTTCCTCTTTGTAGAACACCAAACTTATTACTGATGTCCATTTTTCTAGAGGCAAGACACATACGTATTTGTACCTATTTTTCAGGTGCATATATACAATAGACACACAGTGTGTAAATGTTGACACAACATGTTGTTATTTCCCCATCTTCTTTAACATTTTTCAAATGTAAAACTTGATGAACTTTTTATTATGTGTATTTGTAAAAGGTCAGACAGATATATGAAGAAAACTAAAAAAATGTTTCAGTGTAACTGAGTTTACCCATTGAGAATTAGGGAAAAACTCTAATCATATAGTTGAAAGAACTATAGAACTAATAGAATGGATTTTGAACAATACGTTGATACTGTGCTATTTGTGGCAAGTAATATTTCTGGTAAAGAAAAATTTAATTATGAAATCACAAAAATTGGACTTAAAAAATTCTTAAACACTAAACTTCTATTTATATTTATTGTGATAGTGGGTTTGAATTCAGGTCCTACACTTGAGCCCACTCCACCAAGCCCTTTTTGTGAAGGGTTTTCAGACAGGGTCTGCAACTATTGGCGGAGCTGGCTTCAAACCAAATCCTTTGATCTCTGCCTTTCTGGAGTAGCTAGGATTACAGGCATGAGCCAGCTTCTCTTCATCTTTGGAAAGGGTACCCTGAATTAAACAGTTTTCAAACTCCTCTCCCCAGATAAGCCAGTAGGCAGGATTGGTATTAAACTCCCACTGATGAACTCTATTTTGCCTTTGCCTTTAAGAGTTTGCAAACCTACAGGGACTTAACAATCTTAAAAAAAAAATGGAGATTGATTAATACCCATTAAAAAAAAACATTTACATTAGTTCTTATGGATTCCAGGCTCCATAAAATATATAGAACTAAAAAGACATTGATGAGGTGGCTTTGTTACATGTTCAAAAAATCTGGGTTTGTTTCAAAGCATGGGTCATTCAGCTGCCTCTAGGAATTACTGGGATAACTAGTTAAATAATGACATTGCCCTAGTCTTTTCCAAACCTGCCTTTCAGTGGTCAGTGAGGTTGTGATTTGCCTCATCTTTAGGGGGTATGTGCTCCAGGTGTTTCAATGTGGCCTACTAAGGCTGGGTTGTAGTGTTAATGCTCACGCGTCACTGTGTCCACTGGGCTGGTCCTCTATCTGCGTGTTGCCTTGCAGACTCTTTTTTTGACCTTTTTTCATTTGGACAGCCAGGGGTCTGTTTTAATTTGGCTTTGACAAGACATGGATACTTAGAGTGTATTTGTGCTGTCACGTTTCTGTTAATGGAAATGCAGAAAGCTAGCTTTCCTGCGAATGAGTGGACCTAAGACAGGTAGGTCATCCAGAATGGGAAGAGGGCTCAACAGGGTTACTCGCCATGCTTTTCTATTATGAAAGAACTTTCCATTTAAATTTTTAAAAGGGGATAGAAAAAATAAATAAAAAAACTGAACATGCTTTCTCAAAAATCAATCAAAAAAGACTTGATAAATAAACTTAAATGTTTTTTTTTTAGTCAATACAATTTGGTTAAGTGGCAGCTAGACCACAAGTTTTCACAGAGACAAAATTTCTTAATTTGTCCTGGCATTATACACTGTCCGCAATGTCTAGATATATTATGTTTGTTCCTGACAAAATTTCCAGATCTATGTTTGAAGTTGTGGCACAATAGAAAAGGAAGCAGTGATCACAAGGAGGCAGAGTATCGATTCACAAAGACCAAGTAGGCTCAAGTTCCAATTAGAGAAGAATAAAATTACCTCAAATCATCTGGCAAATTTCACATGAACGGTCTGTATAAACAAAAACATGGCGCGTAGAACCAGACATTCACAATTAAAATGGAATGTGTAAGCTGGTTGAATGAGGCACTATGCTGCTAAAAAGTCCCAGTACCAAATTGGATTATATTTTTGCCTCACCGGACATTTTTTTTCCATCTCACTTGTAAACAGAAAGCAATTTTATTAAATTCCATGTCAAAAAAACTAAAGAAACAGCCCAAGTAAAATAATAATTAAAATAACATTTAAAATTATCAAAAGCAAAATATGAATTTTGAGTGTAAACTATTAAAAGTTCAAAATGAAGGGGTTCCTCTTTACATTAAGGTTGGAATTTTCACTTTCCAACTGAGTGAAGAGCATATGATTGCCATAGAAACAAACTTTTATGTATATTTGCTAAACCAGTCATAATACATGCCTACAGTGCATATACATACTGAATTCTTCATAATTTATGCTACTAAGTTTTTATAGGGATATGGCAAACCATTGGAATTCACTGGAAAACTAGACCCGCATTTGAAAAACCTTCCACATTGGTTCTTTGAATACTTAGGGAAAGCTTTTCACTATTACATCCTAGAAATCAGTTTTAAATGCCAGTCTAATTTCGCTGGGATGGAAAATAGGTGAATTATTCTATCTTTAGGATTCTATGGGGAGAAGAGACATCTCAAAACAAAAATACTAAGTAATTCCATTTTGCTATTAACTACTATTTTCTTTTGTTCCTTTACAGATGTTAGAATCCACAATCAATTGAGGAAGGGCCTTTTTTTAAAGCATCCAGGTAGGTTAATGAAAATGGCCCACTCATGGCTTTGAGAACTGCCTTTAGATGATATAAGGGTTTCTCAGTCAGGCCTGATAATGCTCCAATTTTTTATTTACCTTCTGAGTGACAGAAAAATATTCATATAACTGTTAAAAAACCTAGTGGACTTAAGAGCCCTGTTTTACTCACTAGTGTTACTTCTTGTAAGACAACTATAACCCTGCTAAGCTTCAATATCCCCATATGCAGAATTGATGCTGTTGTCAGCACTATCATCATGCCAGGTTAAATACAGGCCATTCAATAAATAAAAATCTACTTATTTTGAGGCCTAAGTACATGTACATTGCCCAGTAGGCTTTCTTTGTATTTCCATGCAGGCTTCTTCTCTGAGGAAAGTGCTCAAGTGGTTGACCACCTGCCTAACAAAGTCAAACCCCGTATTGCCCACACATACACTCACCAAAAAATTCAAGAATGATTTTATAAAAAGATGTTAAACAGGATGTTAAGAAATTATTAAAATAACATTATCTTTAGTGTTTGTTGTTTTGTTCTGAATGTTTATAATTAATGTAAAAATTTGCTAACTCCTATTTTAAGCACTTTCACTTCACAACAATAAAATTTTAAAATGGCTTTAAAACTAACATTTTATTCTGAGTATAGGATGTTAAATATTTTCTTCTACACAAAGATACTTTGGTCTGCACATTTAAAATTGATGAAGAATTTTTGTGAATTAGGTTCCAATTATTAATTACTACTTCCGACATGTTTTTAATGGATCTTAAAAAAAAAAAAAAAAAAAAGCAACGAGTTAAGTGTGAGAGCTGTCTAGCAAGAGCAAAGGCCCTAAGTTCAAACCAGTGCCGCACACAAAAAAATAACAAAGCAGCTTTACTTCTGAAATCAGGTTTAATGGAAACTGAGTCATGGAAGTTGTTTGCAGCTGCAAGCACTGCTCAATTATTACCCACATGTTCAAACAAAAATCCCTAATATTAGATATTCCTATCTTAAGTAAAATCATAAATGGCTTTTAAGACTACATGAAATAATTTTTTTTCATATTCTGAAATGCGTAATTCAGATTAATATGTTTCATATTATTTTTATATCTAACTTTCTATTTCATCCTTAATATGCAAGTCCTAACTTTTGCCCTTATTTATGAAAATTTATTTTTGGTTCCTTTATTCAATCAAATATTATTTATACCTACACTGCTAAAGGTGCTACGGAGCCAAATTTTTAAAATCACTGGACCAAACTACCAAATATTTGCAATGGAATAACCCTACGATAGATACCTTCTAAAGACAAGATTACTTCTGGCGACTTAAATCAAGGAAAGAACACATCTTGCACTACTTGAATTATTTAACGAAAGGTCTCTTTTGACTGTTTTCCATATAAATTATTAAATTATCAGAAAGTACTAAACTTTTCTAAATGATTATTAGATTTTTTCAATCATTTAATAGAAAGTAAACCAATTACACACTTATTAATTTAAAGAAACAAAGTTTCTTCAGTAGAAAATGTAGAAACATTTTAATTTAAATATTACAATCAATCAATATGAAGTCAAAATCCACCAATTACACATTCATAAAAATTCCTAAACTCGTCATTCAGAATCTCAGTCTTCTGTACAAGATTTTAAGGTTGTCTAATGTATTGGTGTTTTCCTCAGGTGTACAGAGTTTAGAGTTTCTGCTCGAATTTCCCCAAGTTTCAAGCGCAGAATCGTTCTTCATCAATTTCTCCAATGACTGCACTATAGTATTATTGGAAAAAAGTCAAGAGGTTAAACACATCTGAAATTAAATTGACATATATCTCTTAAAATGCAGGTAATCAAATTTACAAAGCACTTAGTAACATTCTTCCAAACAAGCAGAATTAAGAGGGCACAGTACAATGAACTTAGTTTAGTAGGAGCAACATTCCATGTGTCAGTGAATTATACATTTAAATTAAAAACATTTTTTATGTGTCAGTGATTACACACTTAAGAATAAAACTCAAGAAATAATTTGAAGTAATCGTTAAATGGATGAATTTTTAAAAGGAGTGCTGGTAAATGATTTGAAAAAGCTCTTAGAGGAAGGGAGACTGATATTGCAGCATTTAGCCTTTCTGCAAGAACTCTACTTCTGTCGATTCAAGCTCCTAATTGTCTATCCAATTTAGTTGCAAAATTTCTTTAAAAAAACAGCAATATGCTTTCATGACCAGCACAAGGCTAAGCTTCTAGCACACCATGAGTCTAGCGAAAAGGTATCCATTTTTTTTTTTTTTAAATAACAGCCAGGAGGGAAATCCTTTTTAAAAATCCACTGGCCAAAAACCATTACTTTGCAGTGGGACAACCTATGATTAGATAACCTGCTGAGATAAGATTTATCTTTCTGGTTGACTTTAATTTAGGAAAGAAACACGTTATCTTTGTATTACTTTGATACTGTTTACACAAAAAGTATCTTTTCAACTAGTTTTCCATAAATTTTAACATAATCAGAAAGTACTGATTTTTTCCTAAGTTTTCAAAAATGGTCCATAGATTTTTTTTTTACATCATTTATATAAAAGTAAAACAAGCTACCACTTACTTTAATTTATGGAACAAAATTCAATAGACATGAAATAGGAAGCATTTTAATTTACATCATTTAAGACTCAATTGAAGTAGGTATTTATTATACAAGTATTTAAGATAAATCTATGCATTAAAAGTTATTCCTTCATCTTTTGATGTCTCACTTGCTCCCTGAATAACCTAAAAATTGCTAATGTTTTCTTGCTGTCTTCTGCACAGATTTTGAATCTATATTGTACTATTGGTAGAAAACTGATTTCAACAATTCTGTTCTCTGTTAACTACATTAATACTTGCCCTTGTGACTATTAATAAATACAATTAAATAAAAATTAAAATTAGGTTCCTCAGACATATCAGCACCTTATCAAATGCTCAACTTTTGCACATAACTACTAGCGCATACTGGGGAAAATGCAAATATACAAGATTCCATCATCAGAAGACTCTTCTTTTAGGCCTCACCACTCTAAATGGTTTGCGGCTTTCCTTTAAATTGCTGCGCCCTCTAAATATTTCTCAGACTGAAGTGTGGTTAAGTGGTGAAGACTGCTTGCTAGCAAGTGCAAGAGCCATTAAGTTCCAAACCTCATTTATTTAGAAAAAAAAATTTCTTCAAAATGGGTTTAGTATGTCCCAAGTTTAATGAGGACAACAGGATAAACACGGAACATCTTAGGTATATCAACTATACCGAAAAATTACCTGAATTATATAAATGAGCAATTGATTTATTCGAAATTGCTTCAAAAAGAAGGTTTCAAAACATTTTTTTGATGTCTAGTTTTAAAACCTAGGAATATACCTGTGTTCCACTGGAATTCAGGGGTTTGAAGAACATTTTAAGTACCCTCTCTAATGACGGTATTTGGGAAACCAAGTCCTGTCTGCTCCTTCCAGGCTACTTCACCATCAGAAATATGGACTAAATCTTCATCGATAAAGTTCAAATTTGTGAACAGATCACTTTGGTTAGCAACTGAGAATCTTAACATAACATATATAGCATTGCCTTACTTGAAGCAAATATAAAAACAAGCTATTATAAAACAAATGGATGCAAAAATTCTTATTAATATGTATGGATGTCACCAAGTATGATATATTGTTGCGTTAAAGCTTCTTCTACATAGACCAAGGAAGTACATCTACAGTTAAAATTGTAACCTCATATATTCTACTTACACATTGTCACCCCTTACGATGTATAAACCTAGCACCACTTGCTCTACTCCCTGTGAAGAGCTGAACACTCGTTCATGGCTTTCATCCAAAATCAAATTAATGGTCTGGTCAAAACCCTTTAGTGTCCCCTGAAAAGAAAACATTCATGAGACAAAGAGAAATATTCTGGTTTATTTGAATATGCAAATTCAGCCTTATAACCATTTTAGTTCCTATCTTGAATATAAGTCCACTATTAAGTTAAATGACTTCTTTATAACCAATACTATTCCAGGATACAGAATTTACCTCTTGGTTGTTTAAGATGGGGAAAAACCTGTATCATAAAAGTAACTAGTGTGCAGAGTTGTTGAAAGCTGCAAAAGACGCTTATGTAGTATAGTACTTCGAAGTAAGCAACATAAAGCTCGTGTCGTCCAGAAACTAATATTCTAAGAGCACCAACTAAAATGAGAGATTTCAAGGTTTATGACATGTAAGCAAGGAAAAGCCACAACAATATAACCAATATCACTGCATGATACATATTAGTGCTAGGCACTATACTAAGCATACTACACAAATTATCTCAATCTTTACCATTTGAAGTAAAACTGTAATTATACCCACTTCAAAAGAGAAAAACGAAGGCACAGAGAAGGGATCTTTCAAAGTCCCATGAGCAGACCCAAAATATTAACTGTCTTAGAGCGAAAACAAAATATTTACTATAATAGTTAGCAAATGGTTGTTATCATACACACCTATACATAACTTCTCAGCTTCATTTTATGTAACTATTCTATTAGGTAACTGTGTCAAAGAAATATGAAAACTACTGAACTGTAGTACTCAAAGCATTAGACTTCTTAACAGATTAAAACAGTTCTCTAACTGCCCATAGGTAACAAAATATAATGGGAGGGAGTGAGGGAGGGAGGAAGGAACGAACGAACGAACGAACGAACGAAGGAAGGAAGGAAGGAAAAGCTTGCTTCCTTAATTAAGGAGGAAGCAAGGCAACTAGCTTTTGTATTGGAATTAAGCCGAATTTAAACCACCATCTGGTTCTGCCACTTATGATGAAACTCTAGAAAGTGACTCATTTTTTCTGAGCTTGGGCTCTAACCTAGAACACAGGGGTAATTCTTCACAAGGCTGCACTGCAGATTAAATAATATAATGCAGGTCTAAATAAAATAACATGACTGTCACGTGATACACATTTAATACATGGTACAGTCAAGCACTTTCACTTATATTAGTCACTAAGGACTTACTGAGGAAAATCACAAGAATTAAAAAGGAAACAAGGAGTTGGGGACTTACTTCAGTGGAAGAGCATTTGCCTGGCAAGTGCAAGTTCCTGAGTTCAGTCTCCAGCACCAGGGAAAAAAACCCAAAAAACCCCAGCAAAACTACAGAATGGGAAAATAAAAGATTAAATAGACTGCAAATATAACAGTGATCCCATAAAATTGTATCACTAGAGATACCATAGCTGCCTTAGTTTAAGCAGTCATAGTATCTGCACAACAATGAAATCATCTAAGGACCTATTTATTCAGTCTAGATTCCTCCTTGTTAAGCAACATATGCCGGCATATACATGCAATATGTAAATCATGAAAGTTTCTAAGAAGTACACACAAAACTCCAAAAAATTATGATCCATGTGGTCAATGTCAGAGCACTGAATGGGAAAGGAAATAAAAAATGGAAAAGGAAAATGAATACATACACAGATTTCTAAATTATACCAGGAGCTCTTGAAGAACTCAAACTATTATCCTATCACCCAGAAGCCTTATAAATACAACACATTTAAGTTTATTAGTGAAGAACATGTGGACTGGCAGCAGAGATGAAGGCAAGGAGCTAAATCATAAAAAAACCTACTATACAGCTGCACTGTAGTGCCTGGGCATTAGAGATCAGAGGTTCTATGTAAAAATTCACATCCAGGCAAGTCAGAAGAAAATGAAAATGCCAGACCTACCACAATCATTCTCCCATCAGAAGTAATAACAGCAACAGTTCCTGATTATCTGAATCAAGGAAAGTATTTCTTAGTGAATATAAACTGAAAATTTAAATTCTGGTAAGGGAATGGTTTCAAGTACCACAAAAAAAAAATGACAGAATTAAGATTCAACTATTCAACACAGTCACTGTGTTCACTAAGGAGAAACTTCGAAAGTTTTAACTTCTTTAAATCATACCTCTGTGAGAATTACACAATTAAAACACCAAAAAAATAGACAAAGAAAACATCTTTATGTGATCAGTAGTATATCCTGCCTCAAAACAACTAGAATGGTTGGCAATCTGTGACTTTGGTCAAGACACTCTTTCTTTCTTAGGTGTACTTCATCTCTAAAATGAAAATTGGATGAGTGCTAAATTAATCCATATTGTATGACTGCAGGAACATAGCTTTTGAAATTCAAAATAAAAGAATTATAATTAATGCCACAAGATACCAATAATACTTGCATCATTAAAAGTCTCCAGTATTAAAACTTTTTTCCCTCCAATTTGTACTTAAGCACCATGAATGTTTTCGTCCAGACTTTAAAAAGGTCACACTTGTAAAGGGTACTTTAAAACTTCACGTGGGTTTTAAAAGTTAATTGCCCTCCACCGTACTCCATTACAACAGCATTATTTTTATCCTATCTACACTGATACTTCAAGTAGTAAGGGAGCAGATATTCAATTATGGACCATTTTTTAATTGTTTTTGCTATTCTCAAACAATGAGCAAAGCCAGTGAATAAAACAAGTGCAATACATAATTTACAGAGCCGTTCTCGCCATTAAAGCCACTGCTCATCTTACTCCCAAACGCGAACATTTAAGCCTCAGGGAAAGAATAAGAATCAATGGGCTATTTTTACGGACGGGAAAGTTCTGAACAATTGCACTGGGCTTTGGTGAATTTCGTTTTTTAGGCAAAATTACAAGATTTGCGAAAGAGGGAATGACCGCTCCCGACTCTTCATTCCCTCACCCGCACGCCCGCGCCCACGGACCCGACCCCCGCACCGGTCCCGCTGAAGAACGAACGCCACCGTGACCCCGGCAGTTACCGCACTGGCTCAAGGATACTGTTGATGTAGTTCTCCAAGGCGGACGTCATGTTGCTCTGCCGGGAATCCCTGAGCAAGAGACCCGCCAGCGACAAATCCACCTAAAAAGGCCCGCCAGAAATGAACAGCTAACGACTCACGCCTGCCGGTGGCAGCACATATCGCGAGACTTGCCACCGCAGCGGCCAGCCGTAAGTCGGAAATTGAAAGGAGCAAGCCAAACAGGAAGCGCAGGACGGTGACGATTCGTGCGCGTGCGCGACGGTGACGATTAGTGCGCGTGCGCGGCGCTTCCGCCCGTCTTCCGGGAGCGATCCGGAAGCCTGGGCAGACCAAATCCGCGGGGGGTGAAAGAAGGAAGCGGGTTCTTCAAGCTGGGGTAGGAGGGTGAAGGTAGGAGAGCGAGCTTCCTAGCCCAGGAAATGACTGTCAGTGTCGTAATTACCAGTAGAAAAGACAAGGCAGACAGAAAGAGACGGAAAAAGGTGTTTTCATTTCGAGTGAAACGTAATGCAGCAAAGGGCATCACTCACTGGTTTTCCGCAGCAAAGGGCATCACTCACTGGTTTTCCGCAGCACAAGCCGAAAACTTAAAAAAAAAAAAAAAAAGCCAAATGCCCGTCATTTGTACCACATGAGGTACAGCTCTGAAAAATCAGTGAAACGCATGTTCGTGTATTCTCCATTTCATCTAAAAGTGCATTCTTTTTTTCCCGCATTTTATGGTTTTGTTTTTTAATTGTGCTGAGTGACATTTACAAAAGTTCTAAAAATGCATTCTTAAACTAAGTCTAGATCGGTAAAAGTGTGTGAGCCTCCCTTAGGAAACAGATGTCCAACCTTCTATACCACAAGGTTGACCTCTCCTAGAACGAAATTAATGAATAACGGCCGCTGCACAGCTGTGAAAGCACTGATTCAGGAGAAGTGTTACAATAGGGAGAGACAGCCGGGCGCCGGTGGCTGAAGCCCATAGTCCTAGCTATTCAGGAGGCAGGGACCAGGAGATCGCGGTCCGAAGCCAGCCCGGGCAAGTCGTTCGCGTAGACCCTATCTTTTGAAAAAAACCCATCACAAAAAGGGCTGGTGGAGTGGCTCAAGGTGTAGACCCTGAGTTAAAGCCCCAGAACAGAAAAAGAAAAGAGTAGAGAAGCACCAGACCCGGCTTTGATCCTTGCTCTGCTAAGGAGTTGGTGACCTTGCACAAGTCACTAAGTTCTTGTACAACTCCGTCTCCTTATATCCTGACCCAGCGACCATTTTGGATTTTTTGTTTGTATGAGAGTAGGATGCCTCACTGTTTCCCATGTTTTTGTGTGTGTATGTGAAATTGAAGGTTGGAACACAAGGCGGAGCTTTGTGCACGCTGGCAAGCACTTTACCACTACTGACCCACGTGGCCTGCCTCCCCCCATCATTTTTTACTGTGGTGCCTAGACTTTAAAGGGCATGAAGTTAGAAAGGGATCTGTTTTTCTAAACAGGAGCGATTTCTCTCTTTTTCACAAAATACCTTAATGATTTCCAGTTGGGCTTGTTTTTCTCTAAACTGAAGCATTGTGGCTTTGAAATAACTCTTGCAGTGTTAGGAGTTTCCCTTTGAAAAGTGAAGCTTCTCTTTTTGTTGGAGCATACTCACAAAGAAATAGGGGCTAGTGTTTTACATACTCAACTTATTCTTATCTTTTTGAAGCCACTTATAGTCAAGAATTAGGTGGTAAATGTCCCATAATTGTCCAGGAACAAAGTTGTCTTCCATAAATAAGAAAAAGGAAGATAATGTGAAGTTTGCAAACGTTATGAGTTGAACTAAAAGAAATCCAAAGTACTAAATGAAGTATCATTAATAAGGAGTTTTTAAAAATAACCTAGGTACCACCTTAAAATGAATAACCCATGTAGCTTTTCATTCCTTAGAGTATGCGTGCGTTTGGAAAATGTTTATGAACATCATAAAGTAACTTATGGCACTAATTTCAACATAATTATAAGTCCATTACCTTGTATAGTTTCTATTAAATTAATATGCCAAATGAAAAGCAGGTGTGCATCACAAAAACTCTTTTGTTTGAAATTTTTTACACATGCCTTAAATTTTCTGTATTTTTCTGTAGTCCCTAAGGATCACAGATGTGGAGAAAACGCCTATGAATAAATAAAAGTCCATTTATTAAAATGAAAAATATAGTTACATCTTGGTGCAAACATTACCTTTTTGATTTCACTAAATTAGCCATGTGGCTTTGGGAATATGTGAACATAGTCTAGTATCTCATAAAGAAAATTAAGTTAAAGCTCCAAAGAGGAAAACATACACATAAACATCTGACAAATAAAAAATGAAGATGTATACTGAGACTTTTAGATTAAATAAAAATCTCTCAAAAGTCTTCAAAATATCAAAATGATATTTTATTACTCATAAAACAACCAAAGTATACTTGGAATAGACACTAATTTACATTAGTGCTGAATCTAAATCTTGAACAGAAAGTGTTAAGTTGAACAGTCAGACTCCTCCTGTAGTCTGTGAAATCTGAATTTGTGCTTCCTTGTGAATAGTTAAGAAAATGAAAATAATATTTATTTTAGAATAACCATTATGGTAACTTTTATTTTTTGACTGATTTTTATACCTAAAAGTTGCAAAGGTGTCAATCAGTGACATATATTGAATATTTCTATCTAAGGTTCTCCTAGGCCAAAAAAGGACATACATAAATCATGATCTTTTCCTTATAAGGGAATTCCTAAATAGTTACAGAGCTTTACTTATAAACATGTAATATGTGGTACATAGAAAAAAATACATATATATAAATATAATGTATGTATAATATACATGCATTCCTGAAAATGTTCATGTAGGAAAAAATGGCTTACTTGAAATAACAGATTGAGGAAAAAGTAGGTCTGGGAATGGCCATTCAAAACCTGAACAACTGAGCAATCCTTACCAAACTTTGCTATCACTTGGGGATCTTTAAAACTACTGATGGTATTGTTAGGGTCCGAGAATCCTATTCCTCCGAGAGACAGAGAGTCACTCGTGAATGCAATCAACAAAGCAGAGTTTATTGAGCTGGCAAGCCAGGGTCAAGCTCCCACACAGACACACAGGTCCGATTGGGCAGACAAGACCCCGAACCTCTTTAGGGAAGATCTTATATAGGCCCCTACCGGCCGTTACAGCAAAAGCCTGCACAGTACATAGCCAATGAGTTTGTAACACCACATACATTTCCAGCCTATCCATTTAAGAGTGCATTACTTCTTAGCCTATAGATTCAAGGGTCAGTATTTGCGCACACGGTTACATTTAGCAAGCAGGCAGGGCACATCTTGCACGTACGTCTCTTTCGAAATCTGCTCACATACCTCACATTCCTCACATTCCACCTGCCCCCATCCTGTTTATCTTATCCTGCACGGGCATCCTGTGCTGGCTTTACTGGTTTCTGCTATGGGGATCTGCTGGGGCAAAGGGCACATCCTTTCATTCTCCCCTTTTCTTTGGGCTATATTGAGGAATCATTCTCAAGGGGACGAAGAGCCTGGTATTGTTGGCGGAGGACCAGAAGTTGGACAGTGTTAATTCGGTTTTTGATGAAAGTCACAAGTCGGTTTAGAATACAAGGTCCTATTGTTAGAGTAGAGACTGATTGTCGCACACGCCGCAAGGTAAAAAGGGCTCCTGGATGATTTGTTTTGTAGAGTCTGACTCCCCAGGATTTACCCAATTCCCAATTTGTCGCCTTTTTTCCTAAATCAGTGAAATTTATCATAATGGGATTACAATTGGGGGGAGTTGGGCATCCCTTATTTATAGGTCTAGGTTGGTGGTATGTAATACCAGATTGAGAGACTCTACTTAACTGAATAAGGTCCCCCTGTTTGGGGGTGGCCACCATATGTCCCTGAGCTCTCACAACCCCATGACTTACAATAATAGTCTGCGATTCCTCCACATTTTTTCTGTGGTTGGGTTGGGGAGCGGGGCAGACATAGAAGTAACTTTGGCGCAAATCCCATTGTCCCCTGCCAGTGAATAAGGCCCTGAAGTCAAAGTATAATTCTGGGAACCAGGTGCTGGGAGGGGTCACCTTGGAGGTCTGGTTAAGAATGTCTCCTGTGGATACATCTACAATCATCCACGTCAGGTTAAAAGGTTGATGTGGATTTGTATGCCCCAAGCAAGTGGTGGACAGGGTTAGAAAAAGGAATAAGGTTACCGAGGTCCAGTTTGCTGAAGTTTGAGTTTGAAGGAATTGTCCTTGTGGTGGGACACCCTTCTTGTTGGCAGGAAGTCTTCCTTCACAGCTACCGGGTCCGCCAGTCTGATGTGGGTGTAGTGGACCCAGGTGATGATCCCATTCTAGGAGGGCTGTGGAGCATCTGGGGTGTTTTCGTTTTCCAGAGCATCTCGTATCAGCCGGAGCTTGAGTGGATTTGTGGGATGCTGTGGTGCAGTCCAATTTCCCTGATCCTCCTGAGGACGTGCCCGTCTCACATGGGAGTGGTGTACCCATGGTGCAATTCCATCGACCTTGAGGGCGGTGGGGGTAGTAAGCAGTACAACATAAGGTCCTTTCCATCTAGGCTCTAGGGTTTTGGACTGATGCCTTTTAACCCATACCATGTCACCCGGGACTATGCCATGTTCCGGAGTCAGGACCCTCTCAGTAGTATGGTACGCTTGAATTAAGGGCCATATTTGTTGTTGCACCTTAGCTAGAGCCTGTAGCATAGTCAGGTAATTTGGGGCCAGATCACCTAGTCCCGGGCTTAAGGTCCTTTGAATGATGGGGGTGGAGCCCCATACAGGATCTCAAAGGGGGTTAGCCCATGGACATAAGGGGAGTTCCGGACTCGGAAGATGGCCAAGGGAAGGAGTGTCACCCAATCACCCCAGTCTCCAGGGCCAATTTGGCTAAAGTCTCCTTTAGTGTCCTATTCATCCTTTCTACTTGCCCTGAGCTCTGGGGGTTATATTCACAATGTAGTTTCCAATTGGCCCCCATAGCCTGGGCTAGTCCCTGCAGGACTTTACTAACGAAAGCCGGACCGTTATCTGACCCAATTGCCTCAGGCACCCCGTACCTGGGTATGATTTCCTCTAGTAAGGCTTTTGCCACTACCTGACTCGTCTCC